AAACTGGAATTAAGATTGCTGGAAGAAATATCAACAACCTCAGATATGCAGATGATACCACTCTGATGGCAGAAAGTGAGGAGGAATTAAAGAACCTTGTAATGAGGGTGAAAGAGGAGAGTGCAAAAAACGGCCTGAAACTCAACATCAAAAAAACTAAGATCATGGCCACTGGTCCTATCACCTCCTGGAAATTGAAGGGGAAGATACGGAGGCAGTGACAGATTTCACTTTCTTGGGCTCCATGATCACTGCAGATGGAGACAGCAGCCACGAAATTAAAAGACGGCTGCTTCATGGGAGGAAAGCGATGACAAACCTTGACAGCATCTTAAAAAGCAGAGACATCACCTTGCCAACAAAAGTCCGAATAGTCAAAGCTATGGTTTTTCCTGTCATGATGTATGGAAGTGAGAGCTGGACCATAAAGAAAGCAGACTGCCGAAGAACTGATGCCTTTGAATTGTGGTGCTGGAGGAGGCTCTTGAGAGTCCCCTGGACTGCAAGGAGAACAAACCTATCCATTCTAAAGGAAATCAACCCAGAGTGCTCTCTGGAAGGACGAATCCTGAAGCTGAGGCTCCAGTACTTTGGCCATCTCATGAGAAGAGAAGACTCCTTGGAAAAGACCTTGATGTTAGGAAAGTGTGACGGCAAGAGGAAAAGGGGATGACAGAGAATGAGATGGCTGGACAGTGTCTGCGAAGCAACCAACATGAATTTGACCCAACTCCGGGAAGCGGTGGAAGATAGGAGGGCCTGGCGTGCTCTGGTCCATGGGGTCACAAAGAGTCGGACACGACTAAACGACTAAACGAACGAACGATGTTCATAGATAAACTGTTTCCTTCTCTGGAGTGTGTGCCTGTTTACAGATGCTGCTTTATTGCTATATTGCTACAAACAGAAGACCATTGCCCAATAAACACATTCATTGTGGAGAGAAGAGAGTGATGGGCCAACAGACTAAAAAGGCAAAAATTTGAAAAAGTCCTATCCATATTAAGATGTTGGGTTAAAAAGGCATCTCAAAGCCGGTCCACAGACCAAAAACAGCTGGGGACCGCTGCCATAAAGGGCCGCTGCAGGGGCCACTGCCACAGGCAACAATGTGGCTCTGGTGGGAAATATGGTACACAGGACCCCCCCGACTTTTGTTTCCCAAGGGAAGCACATATCTAGCAGACTGTGATACATAACACTTCTTATACTGACTCTCTGAAACAAATACTAATAATCCAGAAACAAAACCGCACTCCAAAAACGTCAAGGAATGTATTAACTCTTGCATTTTACTACCTATTTTACTGTAATTGCTTTGACCACAGTCCTATTGTGGATTTGTGGTGAAGTATAAATTATGGTGGCAAACTGCTACTAATTAACAAGTTGCTACCTGTGTTGCAGGTTGCATGAATGGCATGCAACTTGGAATTGCTGTGGCAACTAATTAATGCACAGTAATTTGCTGCCTCAATTAACTACATTTACATGGGCATAACCTACAATAGGAATCTGGCCATTTATATTTAACTGTTAAAATGCTTGCTGTAGTTGATAATTAATTAAAATGGGCTGTACATAAGCAAGAGAAGAATTTAACTGCTGGCATTTCCACCCATGATTGGACTGTTGAATTTTAGCAGTATGGTTGTTGCTGTTCTTGTGTGCTATTAAGTTGCCTCCAATTTACGTCAATCTTATGAATGAGCAGTCCCCAAATGTCCTGTCTTCAACACTCCTGCTGAGCTCTTGTAGACTCAAGCCTGCAGCTTTCTTTAGGGAGTCCACCTTGTATTTGGTCTTGTTCTTTCCCTGCTGAATTCCATCTTTCCCAGCAGTATTATCTTTTTCAGAGATTCCTGTCTTCTCATCACCAAAGTAGGACAGCCTCAATTTCAACATTCTTGCTTCCAGAAATACTTCAAGCTTGATTTGATCTTGACTGTCTTTCTACAAAGCTCTCCTCCAGCACCACATTTCATACAAATCATTTTTTTCCTGTCAGCTTTCTTAACTGTTTAGCTTTCACACATTGGAAATACAAGAGTTGGTCTTGGGTCTCCAGTGACACATCCTTACACTTGATGATCTTTTCTAATTTCTTCACTGCTGCCCTTCCAAGTCTCAGTCTTCTTCTGAAGACTTCTTCTGAAGTGGTTTGGCAGCTACAGTAATATTTCTCAAACCACTTATTCAGCACATTTCTGCCAATAGTAAGACGGTTATCTGAGAAAAATTTTGGTAACACTGGCTTTACAATATAGCCCAGAGTCTGAACTTAGGACTACAACAGGCACGTGAACAGATAGATGGTTGGGAGGAAGCATGCAATCTGTGTGATCTATTCCCAGTAATTTAATTTGGTTATGAGATCAACCATACTTACATATTCATAGCCTTTCCTATCTCCCTGAAAGAAAACTGCAGAGAAGTTCCTGAATCTAAATATCTTAATAATCTACCTCTAATGACTCATGTTATGAACACTAAGCTCACGTTATGGTGAATGTTTACCCCCAAATTTTTCTGCAATAATAAGCAGCTAAATATAGTCTCACTTTTTCTGAGCTTCTATTTCATGATAACTTGACAGCATTTCCCAGCCCCACCTTCATTTCTGCCCACATTCTGTG